CTGTCTGTCTGCCTGTCTGTCTGTCTGCCTGTCTGTCTGCCTGTCTGTCTGCCTGCCTGCCTGTCTGTCTGTCTGTCTGTCTGCCTGCCTGTCTGTCTGTCTGCCTGTCTGTCTGTCTGTCTGTCTCTCTTATATTCTGTCTGTCTCTCTTATATTCTGTCTGTCTCTCTTATATTCTGTCTGTCTCTCTTATATTCTGCCTGTCTGCCTGTCTGTCTGTCTGTCTCTCTTATATTCTGTCTGTCTCTCTTATATTCTGTCTGTCTCTCTTATATTCTGTCTGTCTCTCTATATTCTGTCTGCCTGCCTGTCTGTCTGTCTGCCTGCCTGCCTGTCTGTCTGCCTGTCTGTCTGCCTGTCTGTCTGTCTGTCTGCCTGTCTGCCTGCCTGCCTGTCTGCCTGCCTGTCTGTCTGTCTGCCTGTCTGTCTGTCTGTCTGTCTCTCTTATATTCTGTCTGTCTCTCTTATATTCTGTCTGTCTGTCTGCCTGTCTGTCTGTTTGTCTGCCTGCCTGCCTGTCTGTCTGTCTGTCTGCCTGCCTGTCTGTCTGTCTGTCTGTCTGTCTCTCTTATATTCTGTCTGTCTCTCTATTCTGTCTGTCTCTCTTTATATTCTGTCTGTCTCTCTATATTCTGTCTGTCTCTCTTTATATTCTGTCTGTCTCTCTTATATTCTGTCTGTCTCTCTTATATTCTGTCTGTCTCTCTTATATTCTGTCTGTCTCTCTTATATTCTGTCTGTCTGTCTCTCTTATATTCTGTCTGTCTCTCTTATACTCTGTCTGTCTCTCTTATATTCTGTCTGTCTCTCTTATACTCTGTCTGTCTGTCTCTCTTATATTCTGTCTGTCTCTCTTATATTCTGTCTGTCTGTCTCTCTTATATTCTGTCTGTCTCTCTTATACTCTGTCTGTCTCTCTTATATTCTGTCTGTCTCTCTTATACTCTGTCTGTCTGTCTCTCTTATATTCTGTCTGTCTCTGTTATATTCTGTCTGTCTGTCTCTCTTATACTCTGTCTGTCTCTCTTATACTCTGTCTGTCTCTCTTATATTCTGTCTGTCTCTCTTATATTCTGTCTGTCTCTCTTATACTCTTATTTTTAAGTTGTTTTGATGCAGCAGCAGAAAGTCTGACTCAGCAGATTTTGTCATATTGTTTCTAAATAAGAAAAAAGGCAAATTGTGGAAATAAAGTTCTGATGTGACCGCCCCCTCCTCCACCTTTTCAAACAGTCCCTCCTCCACCTTTTCAAACAGCCCCCTCCTCCACCTTTTCAAACAGTCCTCCTCCACCTTTTCAAACAGTCCTCTTCCACCTTTTCAAACAGTCCCCTCCTCCACCTTTTCAAACAGCCCCCTCCTCCACCTTTTCAAACAGTCCTCCTCCACCTTTTCAAACAGTCCTCCTCCACCTTTTCAAACAGCCCCCTCCTCCACCTTTTCAAACAGCCCCTCCTCCACCTTTTCAAACAGCCCCCTCCTCCACCTTTTCAAACAGTCCTCCTCCACCTTTTCAAACAGCCCCCTCCTCCACCTTTTCAAACAGTCCCTCCTCCACCTTTTCAAACAGTCCCCTCCTCCACCTTTTCTAACAGCCCCCTCCTCCACCTTTTCAAACAGTCCCCTCCTCCACCTTTTCAAACAGCCCCCTCCTCCACCTTTTCAAACAGCCCCCTCCTCCACCTTTTCAAACAGCCCCTCCTCCACCTTTTCAAACAGCCCCCTCCTCCACCTTTTCAAACAGTCCCCTCCTCCACCTTTTCTAACAGCCCCCTCCTCCACCTTTTCAAACAGCCCCTCCTCCACCTTTTCAAACAGCCCCTCCTCCACCTTTTCAAACAGTCCTCCTCCACCTTTTCAAACAGCCCCTCCTCCACCTTTTCAAACAGTCCCTCCTCCACCTTTTCAAACAGTCCCCTCCTCCACCTTTTCTAACAGCCCCCTCCTCCACCTTTTCAAACAGTCGTCCTCCTCCACCTTTTCTAACAGCCCCCTCCTCCACCTTTTCAAACAGTCCTCCTCCACCTTTTCAAACAGTCCTCCTCCACCTTTTCAAACAGCCCCCTCCTCCACCTTTTCAAACAGCCCCCTCCTCCACCTTTTCAAACAGCCCCCTCCTCCACCTTTTCAAACAGTCCCCTCCTCCACCTTTTCAAACAGCCCCCTCCTCCACCTTTTCAAACAGTCCTCCTCCACCTTTTCAAACAGTCCTCCTCCACCTTTTCAAACAGTCCCCTCCTCCACCTTTTCAAACAGCCCCCTCCTCCACCTTTTCAAACAGTCCTCCTCCACCTTTTCAAACAGTCCTCCTCCACCTTTTCAAACAGCCCCTCCTCCACCTTTTCAAACAGCCCCTCCTCCACCTTTTCAAACAGCCCCTCCTCCACCTTTTCAAACAGTCCTCCTCCACCTTTTCAAACAGCCCCTCCTCCACCTTTTCAAACAGTCCCCTCCTCCACCTTTTCAAACAGCCCCTCCTCCACCTTTTCAAACAGTCCTCCTCCACCTTTTCAAACAGCCCCTCCTCCACCTTTTCAAACAGTCCTCCTCCACCTTTTCAAACAGCCCCTCCTCCACCTTTTCAAACAGTCCCCTCCTCCACCTTTTCAAACAGCCCCCTCCTCCACCTTTTCAAACAGTCCTCCTCCTCCACCTTTTCAAACAGCCCCCTCCTCCACCTTTTCAAACAGTCGTCCTCCTCCACCTTTTCAAACAGTCCCCTCCTCCACCTTTTCTAACAGCCCCCTCCTCCACCTTTTCAAACAGTCGTCCTCCTCCACCTTTTCTAACAGCCCCTCCTCCACCTTTTCAAACAGTCGTCCTCCTCCACCTTTTCTAACAGCCCCTCCTCCACCTTTTCAAACAGTCGTCCTCCTCCACCTTTTCTAACAGCCCCCTCCTCCACCTTTTCAAACAGTCGTCCTCCTCCACCTTTTCTAACAGCCCCCTCCTCCACCTTTTCAAACAGTCCCCTCCTCCACCTTTTCAAACAGTCCCCTCCTCCACCTTTTCTAACAGCCCCTCCTCCACCTTTTCAAACAGTCCCTCCTCCACCTTTTCAAACAGTCCCCTCCTCCACCTTTTCAACAGCCCCTCCTCCACCTTTTCAAACAGCCCCCTCCTCCACCTTTTCTAACAGTCCTCCTCCACCTTTTCAAACAGCCCCTCCTCCACCTTTTCAACAGCCCCTCCTCCACCTTTTCTAACAGCCCCTCCTCCACCTTTTCAAACAGTCCTCCTCCACCTTTTCAAACAGCCCCTCCTCCACCTTTTCAACAGCCCCTCCTCCACCTTTTCAAACAGCCCTCCTCCTCCACCTTTTCTAACAGCCCCTCCTCCACCTTTTCAAACAGTCCCTCCTCCTCCACCTTTTCAAACAGCCCCTCCTCCACCTTTTCAAACAGTCCTCCTCCACCTTTTCAAACAGCCCCCTCCACCTTTTCAAACAGCCTCCTCCACCTTTTCAAACAGCCCCCTCCACCTTTTCAAACAGCCCCCTCCACCTTTTCAAACAGCTCCCTCCACCTTTTCAAACAGTCCCCTCCTCCACCTTTTCAAACAGTCCCCTCCTCCACCTTTTCAAACAGTCCCCTCCTCCACCTTTTCAAACAGTCCTCCTCCACCTTTTCAAACAGTCCCCTCCTCCACCTTTTCAAACAGTCCCTCCTCCACCTTTTCAAACAGTCCTCCTCCACCTTTTCAAACAGTCCTCCTCCACCTTTTCAAACAGTCCTCCTCCTCCACCTTTTCAAACAGTCCTCCTCCACCTTTTCAAACAGTCCTCCTCCTCCACCTTTTAAAACAGTCCTCCTCCACCTTTTCAAACAGTCCCCTCCTCCACCTTTTCAAACAGTCCTCCTCCACCTTTTCAAACAGTCCCCTCCTCCACCTTTTCAAACAGTCCCCTCCTCCACCTTTTCAAACAGTCCTCCTCCACCTTTTCAAACAGCCTCCTCCACCTTTTCAAACAGTCCTCCTCCACCTTTTCAAACAGCCCCTCCACCTTTTCAAACAGCCCCCTCCTCCACCTTTTCAAACAGTCCCCTCCTCCACCTTTTCAAACAGTCCCCTCCTCCACCTTTTCAAACAGTCCCCTCCTCCACCTTTTCAAACAGTCCTCCTCCACCTTTTCAAACAGTCCCCTCCTCCACCTTTTCAAACAGTCCTCCTCCACCTTTTCAAACAGTCCCCTCCTCCACCTTTTCAAACAGTCCTCCTCCACCTTTTCAAACAGTCCCCTCCTCCACCTTTTCAAACAGTCCCCTCCTCCACCTTTTCAAACAGTCCTCTCCACCTTTTCAAACAGTCCCCTCCTCCACCTTTTCAAACAGTCCTCCTCCACCTTTTCAAACAGTCCCCTCCTCCACCTTTTCAAACAGTCCTCCTCCACCTTTTCAAACAGTCCTCCTCCACCTTTTCAAACAGTCCCTCCTCCACCTTTTCAAACAGTCCCCTCCTCCACCTTTTCAAACAGTCCTCCTCCACCTTTTCAAACAGTCCTCCTCCACCTTTTCAAACAGTCCTCCTCCACCTTTTCAAACAGTCCCCTCCTCCACCTTTTCAAACAGTCCTCCTCCACCTTTTCAAACAGTCCCCTCCTCCACCTTTTCAAACAGTCCTCCTCCACCTTTTCAAACAGTCCTCCTCCACCTTTTCAAACAGTCCCCTCCTCCACCTTTTCAAACAGTCCCCTCTCCACCTTTTCAAACAGTCCCCTTCTCCACCTTTTCAAACAGCCCCCTCCTCCTCCTTTTCAAACAGTCCCCTTCTCCACCTTTTCAAACAGTCCTCCTCCACCTTTTCAAACAGTCCCCTCCTCCACCTTTTCAAACAGTCCCCTGTGGTCTAAATGAAACATCTGTGCTGTGCTTTGGTCAGAATATAACATGAATCAAGCACCAGAGGAGGTTTGTGACCCTGTAGAAACCAGCTCTCTCAGAATGCTCCGTTTTGGTGTGTGTGTCTCTTTAAATGCTATGACCCCCCCATGGGTGGAGATATCAGGGGAGGGGATTCATTCTTTTTTCCCAGAATCCCACTGTGACATCACAAGGAGAGCACATTAGAAACAGAGCTTCTCTGTGTTGTAAGACTTATGCAGACCACAAACAAAGGACTGGATGGTTTATTTCACATGTTGTGGGTCAGTAGACTCTCAGCTTACACAGACATATGTTCACAAACACTGAAGAAGTGGATTCTTCAGAATATGTCCCCTTTAATAAAATGTAAACAGATGAGTTGTAACATTCAGCCCGTACAAGTGAGGACAGAAATGAGCTCTAGAGACCCAAACTGTTTTTTTTTTACCAGGCTTTAAACATGTTTATTTTAACATGGGGCTCTATGAGGACTGACTCACTGCAGGAGACAGACTCTAGTGGACACTGGAGGAACTGCAGGTTTTTTTTTTATAAACTTCTGAACACAGGTAAAGAAAGCAAAGATACTAATGCCAGGTCAGAAAACTCTTCAAGGAGTTTCTGAAATGATCTAGATTGTGTGTGACGTGATGCTGAGCTGATGATTTTTCACCTTAGATCTGATCTGAGTTCTCCTCCCCTCGCTGAGCACGACCAGACTGTACGAGGCGTTCAAAGTCCACCACAGAGAAAACCTCACAGCAGAAAGAATGCAGCTCTTTAACTCCTCCTTCTGTGTCCTGCAGGGCGATGGCGAGGCCGAGCCACAGCGATCACGTCCTCCAGCAGCTCAACAACCAGCGGGAGTGGGGCTTCCTTTGCGACTGCCTCATCGCCATCGGAGATATCTACTTCAGGGCGCACAAGGCCGTGCTGGCGGCGTGCAGCTCCTACTTCAGGATGATGTTCATCCGGGACCAGCAGGGGGCGGGCCGCCTGGACCTCAGCAACATGCAGATCAGCGCCGAGTGCTTCGACCTCATCCTGCAGCTCATGTATCTCGGGCGCATTGTCGTCGGCAGCTACGAGTTCGAGGAGCTGAAGGCGTCCATGGCGTACCTGCAGATGTACTACATCCCCGACTCGCTGGAGGACCTCAGGGACATCAGGAGCTCCAACCTCACCCCGTCCTCCTCCGCCTCTGCCTCCGCCTCCTCCTCGTCCACTTCCTCCACAGGACCCGCCGGTGGGAAAATGATGTTTGGCGTTCGCATGTATGAGAAGCCGAGGCCTCCCGCCCCCGAGGTGGAGCGCATACCAAAAGCTGTCACCAGCTCTGCCGCACGACCAACGGTTCCAGTGACCGCCAGCAGACCGGTGGTGGCGGAGGAGGTGGTGAACACTCCTCTCATCGTGGCTCCGCCCGTGGTCGACGGAGCGGTGGAGCAGCCGTGTGATTTAAGAAAGCGGTCCAGCGCCAGAGGTTCAGCACTCAAAGACCGTCCACGTTTTGGACGCACCTACACCTGCGACGACTGCGGTTTCGTCTTCAGCTGCGAGAAGCTTCTGATCGAACACATCCTGACGTGCACCAACAGGAAAGCCTTCAATCCACCGCGAGGGAACGCAGACGGGGACAACGACTCCAGCAAAGCAGAGAGCTCCACGTCAGAGAGCTTAGACGACCACAGAGCCGTCTGTAAAGGCGAGGACGACTGGCCCGGGGTCAAGGTCGACTCTGATCTCACCATCAGGTCGGTGGCGGCCGGGACAGACGGCGAACCTGGGTCGACCCGGAGCGTCTCCATCAAGACGGAACCAGAAGAAAGCGTGTTCCCTGAGATAGAGATGGTGTCGGGCGTGGAGAACAGCAGCGATCCTTTTGAAGGTCACATGTCGAGCAGTGAAGATTTGGGAATCCCCACGAAGCTGCGTAAGGTCAAAGAGGAGAAGCAGGACCCTGACTCCGCCCCCTGCGAGCTGTGTGGCGATCTGTTGACAGAGGAGGACAAGTCGGCCCACTACCTGTCCAACCACATGGGTCACATATGCGCCTGTGGGAGGTGTGGCCAGGTGCTGATCAAAGGCCGTCAGCTGCAGGAGCACGCAGAGCGCTGCGGCGAGTCCCAAGGTCGGGAGTCGGACTCAAACGGGGAGGACGAGGCGTCTCTCCTCGAGGAGCCGCAGGGTATGGACGAGGGTCTGCTGGAGGCCGCCGACCTCGCCTGCTCTCACTGCGGTCTGCTGTTTCAGAGTGAGAGCGTAGCGCTGGAGCACGCCTTGTCCTGCCACGACCAGGAGCTGTTCCGCCCCGTGCTGCTGGACGACGGCGCCGAGCAGGATCACCGGCGCAAACACTTCTGCAGCATCTGCGGCAAGGGCTTCTACCAGCGCTGCCACCTGCGGGAGCACTACACGGTGCACACCAAGGAGAAGCAGTTCACCTGTCAGACCTGCGGGAAGCAGTTCCTGCGGGAGCGCCAGCTGCGGCTGCACACCGACATGCACAAAGGCATGGCGCGCTACGTGTGCCCCGTGTGCGACCAGGGAACCTTCCTCAAACACGACCACGTCAGACACATGATCTCACACCTGTCAGCCGGGGAGACCATCTGCCAGGTGTGCTTCCAGATCTTTCCAGGAGGAGAGCAGCTGGAGAAACACATGGACGTTCACCTGTACATCTGTGGCGTCTGCGGAGAGAAGTTCCGCCTCCGTAAAGACATGAGGAGTCACTATAACTCCAAACACACCAAGAGACTATAATCAGAAGCGTCCTCTGCATTTATACCAGTTTGTTACTAAAAGCCATAAATGTGAGAACAAATGTATGCACTTAAAACACCAAAAAGACAACTTTTAATCTGCACTTTTAAACATATGCATAACCTAAAGAGGCGTTCACACTGCGAGCAACGAGGCGAGCAGCAACGAGGCGAGCAACGAGGCGGGAAGTCGATTGTTCTGTGTGACAATCTGCAGCTTTAATTTTGAAAACACTTAAAGGCTTCATATGATGATATATAATCAAGTATCTCCTCTGAAAATAACTCTGTGAGTCATGACTGTCTACAATGGGTGTAACACCCGAGTCCCACTGTCTGTGATGTTTTCAGAGTTTTCAGAGTCCTATCTTCAGTTTGTTTACATCGCCTGGACGGCCGGCTGACTCCTCCCCTCGTGTATAAAAGTTGTTTAATTGAGGGACTAGAGAAAAGAAGAATAACATACTGTACTCACTGCTTAACTGTGTTTCTAGATCACGCTCATTTCAGGTAAATTTACATGCAGTGTGAAGATACCAGCATAATAAAGATCGCTAGCATTAGCATGCTAACACAACAATACAGCGCAGTTGTTTTGGTTTCATGCTGGAGCTCAAGGGCGACATCTGCTGGATCAAAACATCACATATAAAGACTTTAAGCAACGGTACGAGAATACCGAACCGTTGTCAAGAGTCGAGGAACCAACCACTTAACCTTAGTTAACTGTCCATAACCACCGCCAGAATACACGCCTATCAAAGCTAACCAGCTAAAGAGCTAACGAGACGTTTTATCGAGAGGGTATGATGTTCAAACATCGCTCAGTAAGAGGTGACAATCGTTAGTCAAAGAATCAGATAATTCACGTCCGGTCATGGAACCAGAAATCCAGAACCATAACCTGGAATCGACAAATCGTTTTTGCACTTGAACGCACCACAGTGCACCTGGCTGGAGACGACCCCTGACCTCTGACGTCTCGCCTCCACTTGTTGTGTTGCTCTCAGTGTGAACGCCAAGGCCGGCAGTGAAAGAAATGGAAACTTGCTGCGGCTCCTGTTTGTTTGATGATGTCACCGTCAGGGGGGAGGAGCTTAAGAGTCAGTGACTAACACGCTGAAGTTCAAACAACCGTTAACGTTCTCGTTTGATTCAAGTCAAAAGCTGAACCTGTGAGAAGACGCCAAAGTTCAGCTTCTTTGTGAACCGTCGGGTCTCTCAATTTGAGTCGACGTTTTCTAAGCTCTGATGTCATCTCGTCTCTCTGAACACGCCACACGTTGGCTGAGTGGCGGTACTCGTGGTGGGAAAGCACTCTGATTCTTTTCTGTAGTTACTCAGTCAGCTTTACATTCACCGTCCAACGTGCTCTGTGATCGGTGCCTTTACTGTGATGGCGGCGGTGCACGCCAGCAGCACTGCGTCCTCTATGTCCCCCTGCTTCTTCACAGAGATGCATGCTGGGGGATGGGCAGGTGTGAGTCCACACACCTCGTGTTTCAAAGTGAACACTTAAAGGGAAACTTCACCATGAAACATGACTCTGTACTGACTTTGGGTCATATATGTAGAAATGTGAAATACATTTTGAAGTTGGAGCCTTCTTGACTGAGAAAAGACAGAAAGTGTCTTTTTGGCTCATGTGGATGAAAGACACCAAATCCCAGAATGCACAGCACAGCAGGCCACTCCCACTAAGATCCTCTAGTTCAGAATCAGAAACACTTTATTAATCCCAGAGGGAAATTCGATTGTTACAGTTTCTCCAAAATAGACAGTATAGCAGTAGAAATATAACCGGCCGGCCTGTCGGCAGCAGCCGTCTCACCGCTATATTTATATTTTATCACCCACTGATCTGTGATTGGTCTGTAGCTTCAGCTCCTTTTCAGACTTAGAAATACAAAGATTTCACATCTCAGGGGAAAATGAAGGCGGGATGCACGACCATTCAAAAATACTACCAGGTTTCTAATGATGCTAAGCTAAATGCTAATGGGTGACGTATCCCTTTAAAGGTCAGGTCGTGGAACAGCACAACACTAGAAACGGTCAGCTGACTGGAACCAGCACAAGGTCCAGGAGCCGGTCTGGAAACTCTGTGGTGGACTTCAAACACAGACAGGAAGTGTTGAATCAAAGTTTACTTTGGACTGTTGCCTTCTTCATGTTTGATACCAATGTTGCCCAACGGCAGAGGGAATATTTTGACCGGGTTCTTGCGATGCAGTTTGGGTAATTTAGGGAGATTGAATGCCCCAGGTTTGGTGAGGGTTAGGGTCTGAAGAAGAGAGGTCAATATATGACTTTTGCCTTATGAGTCTTGTGAAGTTGTGTTTCACTGCAGTCTGGTGCCGGCTTCAAGAAAGACCCAAACGACAAACCCAAACATTTCAGAACATGTAGAAACCAGTTAAAGGTCCACGTTCTTTTAAAACTGATCCAAACCAGTTTCAACCAGACCACGATATGTTTCACACTTTGAACTACACTCAAACCTTTAGGAACTGGTCCAGACCAAAGTCCGTTAAATCAGAACCAGCATCATCCAGGTCCAGCCCTCACCATGGTTCCAGTTTTTGAAGTCTGTTGAAGGATGGTGAGGCTTCTGTTACGCGTTTGGACAATCACAGGTCAGACGAGGACGCTGCTGTCTCGTGGTTATCGGGCGCTCTTCATGGTTTTATTCACATTCACAGGTTTAGTAGAACCGGGTTTAGTAGAACCGGCTGAGCTGGACACAAATATTGTGACGATTTTATTCAGGAGCTCAAATATTTCTGCGGCCGGGAGACGTATAAAAGTATCGAAACCTTTCGACCTTCTGAAATCCAGATTTGGTGAATTTAAGAGTCTGGCTCAGATTTTTCCGGTCCAGTACCAGGACTGGAGCGAGCTGGGTCAGACTTTGGAACCCCTGGTGCCCTGTAGAAAAGAACCACGCAGACAGTTCTTCATTGTGCGTGCGTGTGTGAGATCGCACATGAAAACTAAAGAGACAGCGGCACATGATGAGGTCACACAGAGGAGAAACCGGCGCCGCGCAGCGTGGCGTCTACACAGAAACACCTTAAACAAGGAGCGTTTTCAGTGAACACGCCGTTTGTGTACAAAAGGTCAAAACAAACTTGTCTTCTGAAATACACGCCTACACGTGGACGAGGCCTTGGGTTCCTGAAACGTCTTCTCCCGGTCCTGAACTTTAAGAAGAAACTCTTTAAACAGTTACTGAATCTTCCTGATGTTCTCTGTAACGCCTCAACATTTGGCGAGGGATTCTGATTGGTCCTCGTGTGTTCGGCTGTTTAATTTTTTTCTGATGTTCAGTTTGTGAAGTTTTCAGCGACTTGATCTCAATCAGCACTCAATAAAATAAACGGAGTGATTAAAACAAACGTGTGTTTGGAAATCTGTGTCTTTACTTTTCTCTCCTTGAAGATGTCGGCTGAGATTAAAGATCTGAACATCTGTGCAGATGTTTTTAAAACTTCATTGAAAGCCCTCCTACATGTTCCTCACCTGAGGCTGTGAGGAGGATTCACAGAATTAATGTAACAGCTGATCTCAGAGTCTGTATTGTTTTAATCTCTGTAAAGTTCTCAGCCTGTAGTTCACAGTTTGTCCACACGGGGGAGCTGCAGGATGAGCTGTGAACGACAGGCAGTGATCAGAGTCACTCCAGATGTTTATTAAAGATGAGATCAGGTGAGATCTATAAGACTCTTTAACACGGAGTAAAGTTTAAACATTCAGAGTCACTAACAAACCAGGTGTTACCTATCCGTCCAATCAGGAGCCGGCAGCTCTGTAAACAAGGATGCAGGTTTCCTGTTGGGTTAAAAATAAAACTCAGAGCCAGAGAGGAACTCAGCCGGAAACTTTAATCAGCTGATGGAGCGACCTGAGCAGCTTCCTGATTCTGATTAAAGTCGTCCATCGATGACTCAGAGGTCACAGGTCACATACTGTTATTTCAAAATAAAAGCACACAGCAAATACTCTCAGCTTAAAACAAGACAAACATACAAAATAAAAGCCCAACAATTTTTATTTTTAAATAACAGAATTTGAAACATTTGATTCAAAATGTTTTAATAGTTTGACAGCTTTGAGTTTTAAACTTAAACTAAAAACAGATTTTTCCACCGCTCAGTGATTAACCAATGAGCAGAGGTTATCTGGACGACCCCTCTCTGTCCACCTCCCGGCACCCGGCTCGGTGTGTGGGCAGGTTGGATGGATCATCGGCGGTCACAGCGGGGGGCTCGGAGGAGCTGAGTCCAGCCTGAGGGGGGTCAGTGGGTCCAGGTCCATGTGGGTCTACAGGTTTTTACATCAACAGAGATAATCAGGAAGTGGATCCACCAATCAGATCTACTGTAACTGCTTACATCATCACATGCTCCTGATGTTACATCTTTTAAAAGTTACACATTAGAGATTCATTTAAAGGTTTTAAGTTTCTTTGAGGACTCTATTGGTCTTGTCAGGAGGCGGGGCTTATGTGAATGAATCAACACTGAATGATTATTTTCACCTGATTGATCTTCTTCACTCGTCTTCATCCCGGAGGTCGAGGCTCCCGGCTCCCTGGTCTCTGTTTTTGCCCCGGTCCCGGTCCGGGTCAGTCCAGGTCCAGCTGTGGGTTTCCAGATCAGACTGTAGTACAGAACCAGGACGGCGGCCGCCAGAGACACGGTGAGAACGTAGACCAGCACGGTCACTAACCTGACCCACTTCTTGTTGGCTCTGGTCTCCAACCTGGCCCTGCACTCCCCCGTGTACGAGGCCGCTCTCCCACGCCCCTCTGGGCCCCCGGTCCAGCTCCACAGGTCCCGCATGCTGCTCGCTCGGGTCAGGAACAGAAATGTAGAAAACAATTCATCAGAGCAGATTATACCCAGAATACACACCTGTCCTAATCCCTCACACACACACACACACACACACACACACACAGACACACACACACACACACACACACACAGACAGACACACACACACAGACACACACACACACACACACACACACAGACACACACACACAGACACACACACACACACACACACACACAGACACACACACACACAGACACACACACACACACACACACACAGACACACACACACACACACACACACACACACACACACACACACACACACACACACACACACACAGACACACACACACACACACACACACACACACACACACACACAGACAGACACACACACACAGACACACACACACACACACACACACACACACACACACACACACACACAGACACACACACACACACACACACACAGACACACACACACAGACACACACACACACAGACACACACACACACACACACACACACACACACACACACACACACACACACACAGACACACACAGACAGACTTTATGTATTCTGTTCATTGTGTTGATTTAAAAAATGTTTTTTCCACATTTGTATATTTTTATTAAAGGGTTAATCTTCAGATCATTTGAGGACCAATCAGAGACGAACAGAAAAAGTCAGAGTGATCACATCACGTGTTTTTATTGTAAGACTCACTGATGTCGTTTTTATTCTCATGTTTGTGCTCAGGTCATCTTCAATCAGAATAATCACGAAGTGACTTCAGATCTATACATACATACAGCTCTCTATAATGTTTAGAATTAAAAACACTTCAGATCTATACATACATACAGCTCTCTATAATGTTTAGAATTAAAAACACTTCAGATCTATACATACATACATACAGCTCTCTATAATGTTTAGAATTAAAAACACTTCAGATCTATACATACATACATACAGCTCTCTATAATGTTTAGAATTAAAAACACTTCAGATCTATACATACATACATACAGCTCTCTATAATGTTTAGAATTAAAAACACTTCAGATCTATACATACAGCTCTCTATAATGTTTAGAATTAAAAACACTTCAGATCTATACATACATACATACAGCTCTCTATAATGTTTAGAATTAAAAACACTTCAGATCTATACATACATACAGCTCTCTATAATGTTTAGAATTAAAAACACTTCAGATCTATACATACATACATACAGCTCTCTATAATGTTTAGAATTAAAAACACTTCAGATCTATACATACATACATACAGCTCTCTATAATGTTTAGAATTAAAAACACTTCAGATCCATACATACATACATACAGCTCTCTATAATGTTTAGAATTAAAAACACTTCAGATCTATACATACATACAGCTCTCTATAATGTTTAGAATTAAAAACACTTCAGATCTATACATACATACAGCTCTCTATAATGTTTAGAATTAAAAACACTTCAGATCTATACATACATACATACAGCTCTCTATAATGTTTAGAATTAAAAACACTTCAGATCTATACATACAGCTCTCTATAATGTTTAGAATTAAAAACACTTCAGATCCATACATACATACATACAGCTCTCTATAATGTTTAGAATTAAAAACACTTCAGATCTATACATACAGCTCTCTATAATGTTTAGAATTAAAAACACTTCAGATCCATACATACATACAGCTCTCTATAATGTTTAGAATTAAAAACACTTCAGATCCATACATACATACAGCTCTCTATAATGTTTAGAATTAAAAACACTTCAGATCCATACATACATACAGCTCTCTATAATGTTTAGAATTAAAAACACTTCAGATCTATACATACATACAGCTCTCTATAATGTTTAGAATTAAAAACACTTCAGATCTATACATACATACATACAGCTCTCTATAATGTTTAGAATTAAAAACACTTCAGATCCATACATACATACAGCTCTCTATAATGTTTAGAATTAAAAACACTTCAGATCTATACATACAGCTCTCTATAATGTTTAGAATTAAAAACACTTCAAATCTATACATACATACAGCTCTCTATAATGTTTAGAATTAAAAACACTTCAAATCTATACATACATACAGCTCTCTATAATGTTTAGAATTAAAAACACTTCAGATCTATACATACATACATACAGCTCTCTATAATGTTTAGAATTAAAAACACTTCAGATCTATACATACAGCTCTCTATAATGTTTAGAATTAAAAACACTTCAAATCTATACATACATACAGCTCTCTATAATGTTTAGAATTAAAAACACTTCAAATCTATACATACATACAGCTCTCTATAATGTTTAGAATTAAAAACACTTCAGATCTATACATACATACAGCTCTCTATAATGTTTAGAATTAAAAACACTTCAGATCCATACATACATACAGCTCTCTATAATGTTTAGAATTAAAAACACTTCAGATCTATACATACATACAGCTCTCTATAATGTTTAGAATTAAAAACACTTCAGATCTATACATACATACATACAGCTCTCTATAATGTTTAGAATTAAAAACACTTCAGATCTATACATACATACAGCTCTCTATAATGTTTAGAATTAAAAACACTTCAGATCTATACATACATACAGCTCTCTATAATGTTTAGAATTAAAAACACTTCAGATCTATACATACATACATACAGCTCTCTATAATGTTTAGAATTAAAAACACTTCAGATCTATACATACATACAGCTCTCTATAATGTTTAGAATTAAAAACACTTCAGATCTATACATACATACAGCTCTCTATAATGTTTAGAATTAAAAACACTTCAGATCTATACATACATACATACAGCTCTCTATAATGTTTAGAATTAAAAACACTTCAGATCTATACATACATACAGCTCTCTATAATGTTTAGAATTAAAAACACTTCAGATCTATACATACATACAGCTCTCTATAATGTTTAGAATTAAAAACACTTCAGATCTATACATACATACAGCTCTCTATAATGTTTAGAATTAAAAACACTTCAGATCTATACATACATACAGCTCTCTATAATGTTTAGAATTAAAAACACTTCAGATCTATACATACATACAGCTCTCTATAATGTTTAGAATTAAAAACACTTCAGATCTATACATACATACAGCTCTCTATAATGTTTAGAATTAAAAACACTTCAGATCTATACATACATACAGCTCTCTATAATGTTTAGAATTAAAAACACTTCAGATCTATACATACATACAGCTCTCTATAATGTTTAGAATTAAAAACACTTCAGATCTATACATACATACAGCTCTCTATAATGTTTAGAATTAAAAACACTTCAGATCCATACATACATACAGCTCTCTATAATGTTTAGAATTAAAAACACTTCAGATCTATACATACATACAGCTCTCTATAATGTTTAGAATTAAAAACACTTCAGATCTATACATACATACAGCTCTCTATAATGTTTAGAATTAAAAACACTTCAGATCTATACATACATACATACAGCTCTCTATAATGTTTAGAATTAAAAACACTTCAGATCTATACATACATACAGCTCTCTATAATGTTTAGAATTAAAAACACTTCAGATCTATACATACATACATACAGCTCTCTATAATGTTTAGAATTAAAAACACTTCAGATCTATACATACATACAGCTCTCTATAATGTTTAGAATTAAAAACACTTCAGATCTATACATACATACATACAGCTCTCTATAATGTTTAGAATTAAAAACACTTCAGATCTATACATACATACAGCTCTCTATAATGTTTAGAATTAAAAACACTTCAGATCTATACATACATACATACAGCTCTCTATAATGTTTAGAATTAAAAACACTTCAGATCTATACATACATACATACAGCTCTCTATAATGTTTAGAATTAAAAACACTTCAGATCTATACATACATACATACAGCTCTCTATAATGTTTAGAATTAAAAACACTTCAGATCTATACATACATACATACAGCTCTCTATAATGTTTAGAATTAAAAACACTTCAGATCTATACATACATACAGCTCTCTATAATGTTTAGAATTAAAAACACTTCAGATCTATACATACATACAGCTCTCTATAATGTTTAGAATTAAAAACACTTCAGATCATACATACATACAGCTCTCTATAATGTTTAGAATTAAAAACACTTCAGATCTATACATACATACAGCTCTCTATAATGTTTAGAATTAAAAACACTTCAGATCTATACATACATACATACAGCTCTCTATAATGTTTAGAATTAAAAACACTTCAGATCTATACATACATACAGCTCTCTATAATGTTTAGAATTAAAAACACTTCAGATCTACATACATACATACAGCTCTCTATAATGTTTAGAATTAAAAACACTTCAGATCATACATACATACATACAGCTCTCTATAATGTTTAGAATTAAAAACACTTCAGATCTATACATACATACAGCTCTCTATAATGTTTAGAATTAAAAACACTTCAGATCTATACATACATACAGCTCTCTATAATGTTTAGAATTAAAAACACTTCAGATCTATACATACATACAGCTCTCTATAATGTTTAGAATTAAAAACACTTCAGATCTATACATACATACAGCTCTCTATAATGTTTAGAATTAAAAACACTTCAGATCTATACATACATACAGCTCTCTATAATGTTTAGAATTAAAAACACTTCAGATCTATACATACATACAGCTCTCTATAATGTTTAGAATTAAAAACACTTCAGATCTATACATACATACAGCTCTCTATAATGTTTAGAATTAAAAACACTTCAGATCCATACATACATACAGCTCTCTATAATGTTTAGAATTAAAAACACTTCAGATCTATACATACATACAGCTCTCTATAATGTTTAGAATTAAAAACACTTCAGATCATACATACATACAGC